AACCTATGCTCAACATCGAGTTAGATAAGGTTAGTATACAAAAATGAAAAAAAAAATATAATTTCCGGCAACTCTTTCTAAAAACAACTTGTATATTATATTGTTGAAGTTAGACAAGGTTAGTAAAAATAACTTATTATTAGTGGTCACTCTTTAACAATTAAATTTTTAAACATTACAGATGCTTACCTGAATCAAGAAGTACTTTTCTAATTCTGACACTAATAACATATATTTTTACAGGTTTCAATACCTTCGCTACATATCTCACTTGGGATATTTAAGAAACTGTTCGATATTTTAGAAAGAGATGTCCACGATATTGACTGTCAAATATTTTATTTGCGACAGAGGACTCTTGATCCAACTAGTAGGTATGTTTTCAAACATGTTATGTACACTCCTTGAGAATAGTATGCATTCCAAAATACTGTACTTAGATAGATTTGTATTCTTTTTCAGGTGATCATGAATTGACAGACTTCGAAACAGCCATTTCAGAGGCCGCCACAATGAGAAACAACAGTATTACTGAAATCAGATCCTTGAATGACGCTATTGAGCAGATGCGGGATGAACTCCCGTTATCAATCCTTGCTAATAGTGATGTAATGTCCAACAAAGTAGCAGACATCTGCTACGAAATTGCTGTGAAAGAACAGAAGGTGAAAGACTTGGTAAGCTAAATTATATTATTAACATAATAACATACAGTATAATAGTGACAAGAAATTGTTTTCTTATTATTTAATATTAATAATAATAATAATAACAATAATAATAATAATAATGACAATAATGGCATCCCTCTATTATATTGTTTGTAAACTTTTAGTATTTTTTTCATCCCCTTTTTTTACAAATCCAGGAAAATCATATAGATCAAGAGCTGAAATTCGCAAGTGGCCCCTTGGCAACAAGTATGGATGATGTTTTGCATGCTAATAAAATACCAAGACAACAATATCATGGGAAAAGCTTCGTTGGAAATCATGTTCACAAAGCCTGCAAGGTAAGTACTGTACCGTATCAATAACTACAATATTTTTGTAATTGAAAACAAATTTTTTTTATTTCATTATTTTTTATTTTATTTTTTAGATTAACATCATTGACAAATTGATGACTGGTATGAACTCTGCCCTTAAAAATGATCTAGAAGAATGCCCGATCAGCTCAGCAAAAATTCTAAACACAGCATTAGAAAAAATAAAAAAGAAGCACACACCAGTTTTTGAAACATTTGCTAAGGTACACACGTTAATAAACCACACACGACCTGTTAATCCAACTGAACTGAGAGAATATGGTAAGAAACAAATTCATATTTTGCATTCAAAAAAAAATAATAACTAGCTTTTTGTTAAAGTGTTTCCCAAATTATATGTGCATTTTTTTTGACCCAGAGTCGGCAATCACAGATTTTTCAAGAGAGTATCGAAAAGTTGCACCCAAT